AAACTATTTATGAAAGTATCATTAATAAGCAACATTAGCAAGAGTGAACATACTGACAAGAAACATGAAGCTTTTCTAAATTGAAGCAACCTAGAAATTTATCCTAACAATATTAAAAATACACATGGTGATGAAGAAGCATTTTTAATTAATGAATTTTTGTTTTTGTTTTTTGTTTGGGTACAGAAAAGTTTACCTAACCTTAGGGGAGGTTGAGATATTTGTAAGACACTAGGGTAAATTTTAGGACTAAATGCAAAATCTCCAGAGAAGGTATGGGAAGAAATTACTTTGAGGTTTCTTGTGAATTTTTGTTATGGTTTGATCATAAATATCATGCAAATATCCTTTGTCAGTGTATTTTGGCATTTCTTCCAAGGAGACAAGGAGTGAAGAGGATTACAGAAGAAAAATAAAATAAAATTTAAAAAAATGAGGTTGATTTTACACTAGAAAAATGCAGTGGGGAATTCTATAACTTTCTAGTGAATTTTCTACCTCATTCCTATGTCCACAATATAGTATTACAAAATCTTTGTAAAAACCAAAAATGTAAACTGCTATACAGAACCAAAACTTCATCCTCCTCAACAAGTTTGAGAGTAACCAAAATTTAATCCCATTATTTGTTCAGATATAACAATTAGGGTGATTTGGCATCTCAGAGATTGAAACACACATAGCCTGAAGTAGAAAAGGGAGTTTTTCAGCTCACAGACTCTAAGGAGGTTTGACAACAGAGCCAGTGGATGGACACAGGTACAGCTTGGCCTCAGGAGCAAATATAGCTAGAAATGTACTGTCAGGACTTGCCATCTTGTCTTTGCTTTTCTCTTCTCTCTGCATACCTGCTTCAGTCTCTTTCTTCATAAATCTTCTTACCCTACATGGGATATATCAGTTCCTTTGTTCTACATCTTATAGCTACAGTCACTTGAAGGAAATAAACTCCCTTGATGCTCCCTTTTGGACAGTCCTAAAATCATAAGGCAAGGATTTGCTGACTCAGTTGGATCCATTGGCTACCCCTGCACCAATCAACAGTTTGGCCTAGAGAATGGAGGACTAAGATAGGTTCACTTTAGGTGCCGATTAATCCATTGTGGCTAGGAGAGCAGAGTCATGCAATAATAAGGCAATTCCCTTGGGTACCATAAAGTTTGACAATAGAGAATATGGGGAGCCATTCCCAGGCAAAGGAGAATGTTGTGGTACTGGGCAGGAAAACCATATGTTACAAGTACCCATAGCAACACCAAGGAAAAAAGCCACATTATATCTGGGTGGGTTATGCCTAGACTATTTCATGGAAGTCTAGAATATAGCCCACTTAAGTGACTCTACATATATGAGATGTATAGCTAATAGCATATCTTTATACCACATGAAGAAAATCTTGATGGGGCAAATGGATTTAAATGATTGAGTGCTATCTTCTTCATGAAATTTTTTTGATCACTCACCTGAACCCTACCGAACTCTTGTAGGTATTTATGGTCATCACTACACAGTTAATCACATAGTTGTTCTAGAATTGCCTGAATAGCAGGCTGAATTCCTAGCTCAACTGTGGGTATCTTACCTTATGCTTCCTTTTACTAGAAGACTTCTATACCAAGATTAGCGTTAAGCACATAATTTATTCCACATTCATTCCATAAATGATTCTTAAGAGCCTACTAATTTCTAAGCAATATACTCAAAGCTCAGGGTACAAAGATGATCCTTAAAGAGAGCGTATGATTTGTCTTTTGTCCCTATCACACTTGACATAGAAATTTAGCATAGGCAAATTTGACCTAGCAAGTGAACTGCCTTCCAAATACCAGTAGTGTTGTTTCTAGATGCAGTTTAGTTTGCCTATCCAGAAAAATCAGAATTTTCCCCCTGTTGAAGCCAAAAGGCTATTAATGCAAATCCCATTGAATTTGCATTTGGTTACATTTCTGATGGAAGCATTCATATGCAAATGAAAATTCGTGAAAAGATAGCCAGATAATTCAAATAGTTGCTGAAATATCAAGATAAAAGTAGGATGTTAAAATGTCCATCCATCCATTTTTACTAGGTTACACTAAGGATCGTTAAATGGGTCAGTGTTCTTAAAAAGCTTAAATAAGTCATGCCTTAAACACTTGACAACATTCTAATAGGTCTGGATTCAGAAAGGAGCTGTTAGATGACTTTCTACTGCCACAGGGCTGAAAAAGAAGTCTGTCCCTGGTCAAATCAGTCAAGTTGCTCAAAAGAGGTTCATCTTTGAGCCACCATCTTGTCCCCTTTATCTTTTCTTGTGTTAAAAACAAAAGGTGATTTCTGATAGATGTAAAGGCATTTTGATGATCCACAACAATGAACCAATAGTTTGTGTAAGTTGGCAGTTCTTCGTACTCTCTAGGGATTAAATGGTGCGAGTTAAATGACACCATCACATTCACTACCAATAAATACCATTTGGAAAGCATCTGTGGCATCATAAGCAATCTTCTAAAAGATTTCAGACTTGGGGGTGCCTGGCTGGCTGAGTCAGTAGAACATGCAACTCTTGATCTTGGGTTTGTGTGTTCGAGTCCCACATTGGGTGCAGAGGTTACTTAAAAATGAAATTTTAATAAATAAGTAAAGAAGAGAGTTAAGACGAGATTCGAAGAAAAGATTTAAACAAATTTCAAGGTATAAAATCGTAATCTACTATTACACATTCCAAACCTATATTCGAAGGAAATACAGGTGCTGGAATCAGACTGTCGCTCTTGTTCAACTTATCAGAAGCTGGAGGGGCAAGAGGGAAAGTTTTGAGATCACACCATTCAGGATTGTTAGCACTTAGTTTAATAGTCTGCAAAGTGTGATTCTCCCCAGTTTCCTTTTATTTGATGCAATGTATTGGTTCATAGTTTCAAGTGTTTTTAGAATTCCGGTGCTCCGTGCTTTGGTGACTCTCATCTGTCATCCATCAAATTTGGAAAGCCTGAACCTAGGATAAGGTCCTAGCCTCTCCCTCCTTGGCACAGCCAATCCTTCCCCCAAGGCTAGTGTTTTCACTTGTTAAATATCTCTCAAATCCAGCCACTTCTCATAGTCTCCATCACCAATTCCTTAACCTTTATCTTTGCCTGGTTTATGGCAAGAAACTCCTAACGGGTTTCCCAGAATCGACTTTTCTTCTCCCGCAGCCCCTACCATACAATAGTCAGAGCTGTCATTTAAAAATGCAGATAATTCACAATTTCATCCAATCATCTCCTTGCTTAATACCTGTCAATGGCTTCCTGTTTCTCTTAGAATAAAAGCCCAGTCTGTAAGAGGGCTGCCGCAGGCCGCATGTTCTGGTTCCTGCTTGCCTCTCCACCCTCGCATCGTATTGCTTCCCTTCGCTGTCTGCACATGAGCACTGTCTCTTTAGGTGGTGAAAGGCACCACGCTCCTTCCAGTCCCCGCATCCTTGCATGCGCTGGTCTGCCCCAGCTTCTACAGCTCGTGAACTCCATGCCTTCTCCATTCAAGTTTTCCTGATCTTCTATACTCCATCGGGTTCCCCTGCTGCTTCTTTCAGACTACCACACAACTTCCTGTCCTAATACTTATGTGAGTGTGTAACGTTATTTTTATTTTTGAGAAAATATCAGGTGTACTGATTGTTCTCGTGTCTTCCTGAAGGATGAAACTGGATCTGTTTTTTGCTTATCAAAACAAGACATGATACCTACCATATACCAGTCATTCAGTACTTGTTGAATTAATGGAAGTTTCCGCTTTCTGTTTTTTTCATCTATAATCCACAAGTTTGTAACAGTGAAAGCAAGAATAAAAATGAAAATAAAAAGAAAAATTGACCAGCTTGTTCGAACATCACCCTGCCACAAATGCTCAGAAATAACTAGTATGGCAAATACTGGAATATCTTTTATGGCAGAGAAGGTGAGGTGAAGAATATAGGGGAATCAAGGTTAACAGCTCTCAGAAACTACGAAAGTAGGACTCCACCATTAATTGTGCTAGCAATGGACTTGTATTCATCTACTTACTGTAGCAGACACACTCCCCAACACTGTCTCATGCATAAAAGTGTTTATTTAGGGTATTTAAGCCACAGCTTATTTCAGAAACGTATCTAGAGGTTTCAAATGTACAAAGTCTTGTGACACCGTTGCTAAAATTGATTTGCAGCTATTATTCATTTCATGGGAATAGAATCATAATGACAACAGTTAACAATCATATCAAAATCACACAGCAGTATAGCCAGTTTCTTTTGCTTTTATTAAGTCTTTCTGTTAATTCTATTTTATTTCTATTTATGAGCTTCATTTTATTTTCACGCAGCTTTAAAATACTGAGCTAAATATTGAAATCATAGGGCGAGGTGAAGTGCCACATCCCATGATTCTTTAACTAAGTCCCATTATTATCTCTCTAGGAATATCTATCCTTTCGCATCTGTGTCAGACTGTGTAGTCCTGGCCATCTGTGATGTGCAGAGTGGAAGGTTAAAAGTTTATATTTAGCAACAGGATGTATGTGTGGTTAGGCACGTTAAGTTTAGTGGACAATAAAAAATTAAATATACCTTTCTTAAAAGAAAAGGAAGGTTTATATAGACTGTTAAAGTAGCTTTGGGCTCCTATTATCTCTCATGTTTATGGATCTTAGAATGTAGCTCTTTTTTTCATTTTTTAAATTTTCCCTAAAAAAATATTTTAAACTATCTTTCATTCCTGGTGAATTATGCGGACCCGTATTCCAGGAAGAGGAAAATAAAGATGTGCCTATTTAATTTAAAGCAGGGTGTCCTCTTTTTTTTTTTTTTTTTTTGCATCTATTACAAGAATAAGCATTCAATCAATGACTGGTCATCTGTGACACTTCTTACAAATAAACTAGGTATTTGTTGTCTTTTTGCAAGTCAACATTTCGTACTAACAATGATGTAAATGGACTTGGGTCCCTCGGAAGAAGGCCCCCGCAAAGACATTTATGATGTCCTCTTATGATTTCAGTTAAGAATGCAAATTGCACATCAGACTTTGAGGAATACTTTGCCAAAAGAAAACTGGAGGAACGCGATGGCCATGCAGTCAGCATCGAGGAGTACCTTCAGCGCAGTGACACAGCCATTATTTACCCAGAAGCCCCCGAGGAGCTGTCTCGCCTTGGCACGCCAGAGGCCAATGGGCAAGAAGAAAATGGTGAGGCTGTAATTCATTTTTAGCCACTACACTGACCTCTGCAGCTGTTACAATTACAAATGCACTACATGCCTGGGTGTTTACCTTAAAATTTGAAGAACAGCTGCAGAGGCATGGAATTTCATGAGCAAAGATTAGAACTGTAATTTTAGGGTATTGTGAAATTTTTTTTGTCAGCAAATTTGTGTCATTTGTACATCCAATAAAGAACAAGAACAATTAGAGCCCATTTCTAAGAGATAAAAATATCGGAATTGATTCCAATGTTTCTGAAATATTTCTCTTTTGAGGAACAAAAAAAAAGTTTAGAGCGAGTGACCCTCGCCTTCCCTTTCTTCTTTACTGACACCTGAAAAAGCTCTGGCCGGCTGTGAATTCCCGAGTCACATGTGACCAAAGGTTTTTTACCACGAACTGTCAGTCACCTAAAGAGAATTTCCTCATTTATCAGCTGTTCAAATTTCCCCCCAAAAGCGCCAGTAATTAATTAACTTCCCAGCGCAGCGTGAGCTGATTCCGACAAGTCTGTGCTGGGTGCGCGCGGGGACCGGTGCGCGCGGGGGCCGGGGGCAGTGATGGCGCTCTTGCGGAGCAGATTGCAGTGATTCCTGTCATACCAGCCCGGGCAGGCAGCCCATTAGCTGCCATTGATTTACTGACCTTTTGGCCTGCTTCTCTCCCTCTCGTCTCTCGGCTACAGACCTGCCACCTGGAACTCCAGATGCTTTTGCCCAACTGCTGACCTGCCCCTACTGCGACCGGGGCTACAAGCGCTTGACATCACTGAAGGAGCACATCAAGTACCGCCACGAGAAGAATGAAGAGAACTTTTCCTGCCCTCTTTGTAGCTACACGTTTGCCTACCGCACCCAGCTCGAGCGGCATATGGTGACGCACAAGCCAGGGACAGATCAGGTGGGGGGTTGGTTTTAAGTGATTTCTTGCTATAATAACCCCTTAGAGAAACGATATTGCTTTGATTGGCAATCACTATTAATTTTTCATGGCATTTTGAAGATGCAGATCTTTTAATGGTAATAGCTTTAATTGAGGTCTAAATGATTTTTTGATGGTCTCTTCTAATATGATTTAATAGTCTTATGTTCACGATCGAATGAGTGTGTTAATTTCTAATTTAGAAATTTTATTTGCACTTTAACTTGACTTTAGTTTCATTTTTATGTTCCACAAAAAGTGAATGAAATCGTAGCATTTTAATTATACATTATTAAACATCTCAGCAATTTTAATTCCATTTTTCACCTAGTTTTACTCAGAATTTTTTTTTTTTTTCATATAGGATCTAAGCCAGAGTAAAAGAAGTGTGTATTTCTTTCATTTGTCATATAACACCTTCAGGTACTTAGAGTGTTTTTACAAGCTGCTACTAGTTTCTGAAATCTAATTAAGTGGTTTTTTTTAAAATCAAAAAGGCATATTATACGTCTGTTTATATAGATATAAAATAAACTGGATTGATACTACAATATTGGACGTACATTTAAAATGATCCCTTTTGATTTGCATGCCTATGGCTAAATGTTAAGATTGTTCTGCCTCTTTTGGCTGATTTGTGTTAAAAAATAAAAACTCAATCTTGAGAGGTAAGCATAGCTTCTTAAATCCTTAAAATGTTTGAATAGGAATGATTCACAGTGTCCCTTACATGTTTTAGCAAAACTGCTCTTTCTGTCCTCCTGGGAGAAATGACTGCAGATTGGTATTACGTGTTTGAATGGTAACAGAAATGGTGTGCCTGAAGTCCCAGTAACTGGCCTTACAGATCTGGAAGCCTCCTATTTAAGCCTTGCTACCGTATCAGTTTAAAAAAAAAAAAGTGTTAAACCAGACATCCTATAACATTCTTATGCTTCTTTTTTCTTGTGGGCATTATTTTCTTTGAATAAGGAAAATGAGGATAACCAAACACAATCAAGACATGGTGATGATACTATATTATGGGATCTTACTATTGTAAAAGAACAGCTCAGGAAAATCATTCCATTTCTATCCGATTGGGCTTGTCACCTGAACGTTTTTCAAAGTTCACTTACAAAAGCTATGCTTGCATAGTTACACTTACGTAACAGTTTATCTCCCCTTGCTTATATGCACAAAAACTCGAGGGAAAAAAAAAAAAGTGCCTAGATATTTATCTAGCATAACTGCTTTAAATTTCACATGCAGAAGTGTGATTGTGTTGGCGCATTATGAATGGTAGCTTTGGTGTTGAAAAGTCCCCTCATTTGCTCATGGCATTTACAATTAGTAAATTAAAATGATTGTATCATATTAACAGTGGCACAACTAAAGTTTATAGTAGTCCTCTGAGGGCTGTGGGGGGAGACAAAGCAGCTGTTGCTGTTTGTTTATGCAACTCAGCAACATATGAGCGCTGGTCCCTCAATGGCGCTCCGCGGGCTGGGCTCCGCTTGATCTTTGAAGGTTGCTGCTGTTTGAACAAACCTCCCTGTGTCCCATGTAACACCATCTGTCTCACTAGGAATGTGGGAAGATTCAGCACACCCTAGCAGTTGTCATACCGCTTCTGTGCTGTCTTTTTGCAAAAGGCTTTTGTGTCATTGCTGCTTGAAGAAGGCTGACCTCCTACCTTGAGCATCCAGAGTGGATGACTGTATTTTTTTTTTTTTTTTTTTTTTTAGCATTCTAAGTCACAGTGCTTTTTTTCTCTTGTTCAAAAAGGTCAGCTGTGTTTGATTATATCTTTGCTGCTTTTAACTTGTCTTTTCAGCAAACTTTTTTTCTCTTTTGTCCCTACTCCCTAGCACACTACTAAAAAGGAAAATGAAAAGTCGTTGAAGTCTTTCCTACTGGCCTGTGATAAAACTGCTCAAGCAGCTAGAACCCAAGATGTTGTCTCTTGCATTTGATAATGAATCAAATCTGATATGCAACACATCAGGAAAAACAGGGTTTACATTTGCTACTAGCACAGTGAATGGGATATTTAAACATGCTTATCGTGTAATGAAATATTTATAGTCAAGAATTTTTTTTTGTTTGTGTGTGTGTGCTTTTTTTTTTCTTCTTTAAAATTGATATCGCTTCAGTATCAGCTCTACTTTTACCCTGATACAGAAAATTTGATAAAATTAGCTCTTTGCATGGGGAGTTTTTTTGGAGGCTACTTAGAATTTTTCAGGATAATATTTATTTTTTTCCTTGACAAAACAGTTGCATTCCAACAGGGAATCTTCAGATTTTAGAATGTGCAGTAAACCACAAACATCTTTACAATTATACTTTCTCATCTCCAAAGGCTCAAAGAAACATTTTGGAAAAGAGACTACAGAGATAATTCTAAAGCAAGTGTTGGATGCGCATGTGAAAGCACTTTTTTTTTTTTATTTGTTCCAATTTTATTGCCAACATTATCACCTTTATTGCAACTCTGAAAGACTGGGCAAATAAATAAACATGCACTCAAACATTTTGGCCTGTCTGAAAAATAGAGGCCTTTTAAAAATATTTGTAACAAATTTCCTTTGTTCTTCCCGCACAAAACTGATGTCAGCCTTTCTCTTTTTATAGCACCAAATGCTGACCCAAGGAGCAGGTAATCGCAAGTTCAAATGCACAGAGTGCGGCAAGGCTTTCAAATATAAACACCATCTGAAAGAACACCTGCGAATTCACAGTGGTGAGTAGCAGAGGTGCTGGTGCTCACATTTGCGTTTTGTTTCATTAGGGGAGTTTTAAAAGATTGTTTAAAATTTACGCAATCCTGTTTGTAGCTTTTTGGAACTACCCTTTTATTTCGCAAACTACGTGAGCCTGCTTTGCCTTCATGAGCCTTGTGGTACCACCTAAGTAGCATGATCTTACAAAAGGAAAAGGAATGTTTAGACTTCCTAAAAATTGCAAATGCTTTGATTTCTTACAAAATCTAGAGGCTCCTTTTTTGTCCTTTCAAACGCTCTTCTACAGATTAAATATTTTTGACCTGAAGAAACTCGGCTGGCAAATTCTGAAAGGTGTTCATTTTTGATACCTAACCATGAAAGAAAACACTGAAGAATTTTGGATGAGAGCTTTTGTATGATAAATGTTCCTTGATTCCTGGGAGCTGTATAGTACAGAACAACATCCTACCACTGAGATTTCTTCTTTATAACTATTTTGATAGCTCTGCCAAGCATTTTATTACCAAATTGGATGCTATTCAAAGGACTAGTTGGATTGGTAGAATCAATGGGATCTCTACAGGGTTGATTAAAGCCATGGCTACACTTCCCTTTAAATACTGTGACATCTTTATGGTGCTATTGACCACACATTAATCTGACACTCTGTTTAAATAGGAGGCTGCCGATGGCAAGACAAGATTTGGGATCTTGGCTGAAAAAGGCATAGATAGCCCTCACCTTCCACTGCTAACATCTTGAATTATGTTCTCCCGGGGTAGATAAAGCCCAGCAACAGTTAAGGCCACATAAGTCTAAGCTAAGCACCTAGAATGTAGAGGTACCCCACTGTGTTCCTTCCATTTGGTTTCACAGATTCTTGCATTGGTGGACAATTGCAATCGTTACCCACTCGAAGATATGTAATGTTAATTTTGATTATCATTTTAGGTGAAAAACCGTACGAGTGCCCAAACTGCAAGAAACGTTTCTCCCATTCTGGTTCCTACAGTTCACACATCAGCAGCAAGAAGTGTATTGGTTTAATCTCCGTAAATGGCCGAATGAGAAACAATATCAAGACGGGTTCTTCCCCTAATTCTGTTTCTTCTTCTCCTACTAATTCAGCTATTACCCAGTTAAGAAACAAATTGGAGAATGGAAAACCACTTAGTATGTCTGAACAGACAGGCTTACTTAAAATTAAAACGGAACCACTAGACTTCAATGACTATAAAGTTCTTATGGCCACACACGGGTTCAGTGGCACTAGTCCCTTTATGAATGGTGCACTTGGAACCACGAGCCCTTTGGGAGTTCATCCGTCTGCCCAGAGTCCAATGCAGCACTTAGGTGTAGGGATGGAAGCCCCTCTACTCGGATTTCCCACGATGAACAGTAACTTAAGCGAGGTACAAAAGGTTCTACAGATTGTGGACAATACGGTTTCCAGGCAAAAAATGGACTGCAAGGCTGAAGAAATTTCCAAGTTGAAAGGTTATCACATGAAGGATCCATGCTCTCAACCTGAGGAACAAGGAGTCACTTCTCCTAATATTCCACCCGTAGGTCTTCCAGTAGTGAGTCATAATGGTGCCACTAAAAGTATTATTGACTACACATTAGAAAAAGTCAATGAAGCCAAAGCTTGCCTCCAGAGCTTGACTACTGACTCAAGGAGACAGATCAGTAATATAAAGAAAGAGAAGCTACGTACTTTAATAGATTTGGTCACTGATGATAAAATGATCGAGAACCACAACATATCCACTCCATTTTCTTGCCAGTTCTGTAAAGAAAGTTTCCCTGGGCCCATTCCCTTGCATCAGCATGAACGTTACCTTTGTAAGATGAATGAAGAGATCAAGGCAGTCCTGCAACCTCACGACAACATAGTCCCCAACAAAGCCGGAGTTTTTGTTGATAATAAAGCCCTCCTCTTGTCATCTGTACTTTCTGAGAAAGGAATGACAAGCCCCATCAACCCATACAAGGACCACATGTCTGTACTGAAAGCGTATTATGCTATGAACATGGAGCCCAACTCTGATGAACTGCTGAAAATTTCCATTGCTGTGGGCCTTCCTCAGGAATTTGTGAAGGAATGGTTTGAGCAACGAAAAGTCTACCAGTATTCAAATTCCAGGTCACCATCACTGGAAAGGAACTCCAAGCCGCTAGCTCCCAACAGTAACCCTCCCACAAAAGACTCTTTATTACCCAGGTCTCCCGTAAAGCCTATGGACTCCATAACATCACCATCCATAGCAGAACTCCACAACAGTGTGACGAATTGTGATCCTCCTCTCAGGCTAACCAAACCTTCCCATTTTACCAATATTAAACCAGTTGAGAAATTGGACCACTCAAGGAGTAATACTCCCTCTCCCTTAAATCTTTCCTCCACATCTTCTAAAAACTCCCACAGTAGTTCTTACACTCCAAACAGCTTCTCTTCTGAGGAGCTCCAGGCTGAGCCTTTGGACTTGTCATTACCAAAACAAATGAAAGAACCCAAAAGTATTATAGCCACAAAGAACAAAACAAAAGCTAGCAGCATAAATTTAGACCATAACAGTGTTTCTTCATCATCTGAAAACTCGGATGAGCCTCTAAACTTGACTTTTATCAAGAAGGAGTTTTCAAACTCAAATAATCTGGACAACAAAAGCACCAACCCAGTGTTCGGCATGAACCCATTTAGTGCCAAAACTTTGTACACAGCTCTTCCTCCACAAAGCGCATTTCCCCCTGCCACTTTCATGCCACCAGTCCAGACCAGTATCCCTGGGCTACGACCATACCCGGGACTGGATCAGATGAGCTTCCTACCACATATGGCCTATACTTACCCAACTGGAGCAGCTACTTTTGCTGATATGCAGCAAAGGAGAAAGTACCAGCGGAAACAAGGATTTCAGGTACAGAGACCTACCCTTTTGCTCTGAACAGAGGAGACCTTGAAAATTATATTACATTGTGTATGTGCATGTTGCGGGCGGGGGTGGGGGGCAGGGAGTCTTAGCGAAAAAAAAAATTAAATGCTGTGTTTTCAACAGACATGGCAGAGTTGGTTTTCACTTGAACCTCAAGCTGGCTGGGCTAGACAAACAAATGGAGAATCAGTGGAACACAGAGCTGTGGAAACACAGCTGCCTTACGAAAGATAAAGAACTTCAGACTTATTTTTGAGGTTCATTTAGATTGATCTGTATGCTTTTACAATTATACAGCCCTGATGGTATTTGACAGGACTTCCATAGATGCTTAAAGTTAGCGTCCAGAACAGTCCCCTACTTGTGCAGATGTCCACAGTTCACAATCTGCAATAAGACGTGTATGAATCCGATATGTACTTGGTTTTATAGAAAATAGTGTACTTGGGAGAGCATTTTAAAACATATTTTGTATATTCCGCTTGACTTCTGATGGACCTTTCAAACCGGTAAATAATTTACGGGTTTCCGATCCAAAAGCAGGTGTGTTTTAACAACATGGAGTATATAATCCCTGTTTGCAAAACAGGAGCATAAGTAGCCGTGCTCCTCTATAAGGGCTGTGCCAGTCTTCCTATTTACAGTACGTCTGCCCTCTTTGTAAATGTGTTTAAGCCTATTTAATCTCCTCTAATATTAATTAGTGCAAACGCAGTCTAAGAAAACGGAACTGTGAGCTAGCAAATGGAAATGTATGTTATCATGCAAGTTTGCACTCCTTTGGATCAAGACAAAATAAATATCAAGAAATTTAATAATTTACTGATCCACATTCATTATTGCTCAATGCTGAAGGCTGTTTTAACATAGATAGAACATTGATAAAAAAAGTGTTATTAATATTCCCTATTTCAAATTAGAAAATTAAATATAAAAATATAGCTTGAGGCCTTTAGTTGGTAGACATACATTTAAATAGATTGCATAATAATAACATTTTGTACCTAAATATAAAATTCAATTAAAATGGGGTTTCTACAGCTACAGATCATTTCTAAAGTTAACCACACTGGAAAATACACAAATTCTGATGTTTGATTTTCACTGGTGGATATTTCCTGATATAAAGAAAACTGAGGATTTTAGAAAATTTTATTTTTCTCACCTTCAGAGTTGACCATTTTCTACCCTTAAAAAACAATGAGCTCTACCATCTAGGGCGGAGGAGGTTTATATTTTGGTTGAAGGGTGAGACCTCATACGCTGTTCATGGAAAGTAGTAGGATTTTTTGTGTGGGGTTTTTTTTTTTTTTTTCTTAATGAGATCGATGAATAGCAAGCACTTTTGAGGTTCTCCAAATGTCAGCCTACGTGAAGTTGTTTGGTATAAACACAAAGAGAGGAGACTGTGTTGAACTATGTGATTATATCACAGGGAGAATTGCTTGATGGAGCACAAGACTACATGTCAGGCCTAGATGACATGACAGACTCCGACTCCTGTCTGTCTCGAAAGAAGATCAAGAAGACAGAGAGTGGCATGTATGCATGTGACTTATGTGACAAGACATTCCAGAAAAGCAGTTCCCTTCTGCGGCATAAATACGAACACACAGGTATGAGTGACTTTGACTAGCTAGTTAGAGCTTCCCGGCCTGCTGCACATTTCATAATATTTAATGAGTACGCTTCTGCGACATAAGATGTAGCATATGCTGATACCTTCAACAAGGAAGAAATAATGCTTTTGCCCAGCTCCGTAGGACTTTTTTGTTGCCTGTTTATTGGATCATTCATGTGTTTATGAGTGTGCTTGTCTTCATATCTTTCAAGTTACTCTGGAGGCCAAATTCACAGATCCTGTCGAAGGTGTATGTAAGTGGCCAGGGCAATGAAATGGCATGGCACAAGCCAGTTATTGAAAATATGTTCACATTCCCAAGTTGTAGTGACTTGCTCTATGTAAAAACTTAATGAAACGTTCAGTCAGTGATGTATTAGATTTATCATCCAAACGTCAAGTAAGCTGCGACTTGGAGGTGGTTCTGCTTGGTCTTATAAATTGGCCATTTTTTGAATACAGCGGAAGTGTTAGTACTGTGAGAGAAAAAGGTATAAGTAAAGTAATATGCCAAATGAGCTACTGAAACTACTTCTATTTGGAAGACTAAAATAAAACTTTCTACGTTTAATTAGCTTATTTCCAATTCATGCATTACTAACTAGGAACAATTATACAGAGTTGACAAGATAGCAGCCTAGTTCTTCCCTATGGTTCATAAGAGAGATAGTGGGTTAATTTTTAAAACGAAAGGCGAAGGACCACAATGCAAAGCAGCGCTGGTTCCCACAATCCAAGATCCGATCTGCAGCTCCGCAGTGGAACTGCACCCATGCTCACTCCCTCCCTCCTCCTCCTTCCACCTTTAACCACAAAGCAACTCAGCCTCACCTCCCAGTTCCAAATTTTCTCCTCTAGAAATTTGGCATGCTGTACTTGCCCTAGATGGGAAAAGAAAGAGTGTAGGGTCTCAATCAAAATATTGGCAGGGGGAAATTATATAAAAACACTCATTCTTAAACAAGAAAGTCTACTATCAAACATTTTAACATAGAGCGAAAAGATTAGCTTAACAGTGCTTTTTGGGGAAAAGTGGTGAAAAGACAAAAAAGAAAAAGATAAAAGAAGAAAGGGTAACGTGAGTACTTTCTGCTGTATTCTAAGTACCTGGTGCCCTTTTTAGTGATTGAAAACCATCGTTGGGCAGTACTCCTCCTCCTCATCTTCCCTCTTCCCTCACTGGGCAGGTGTGGGAGGCAGCCAGAGAGTGGGAGGAAGTCGGGGGAACAGTAGGTGTTGAGGGTATTTGTGAAGAGAACAAGGTTGATCAATAACAGTACCCCAGTAATCTCTCTTTCTTCAACTGTCTGATATTGTTATTATTTTAAAAGTTCAATTAATGATATGTTAAAGGCAACCTAGTTTGAAAAGCAAGTCCCACTAGTTTCTATACTTGTGTGATATAATTCCATGTTTGAAACGTCAAAATTTTCCTAATTTTGTCTTTTATCAGAGGTATCTGTAGATGTTTTTTTTTAGTACCGAGTCCTACTTAAATATTTATGAAGATATTTTTATATCTAAATTTAATATTTTAATCAACGTCAAATATATTTTGTATTTCATTATTCAGCTACAATAGGCACATCACTGAAGGCATCTTTCCCTCTCTGATTGATTTTATTATATGACCATATGCAAACTCTATCATTTACTACATGGTGAGTGTAAAACTTTTATTTTAGTGAGGGCTATCATACATATTGACATCCCGTCAATATCTTTATTTCTTATAAACGAGATAGTCCATAAACTTCATAGGCATATTGATAGTCAAGAGACCCAAAAGTTGACAAACACAAATGTGCATAGTAAATTTGAAAAATATGCTGTATTTAAAAAAATTAAAAATAAAGTGTTCTGGTTCTTTAAGATGTGAGAAGATCTGCTACCTAGAAGTAATGTATAGCAACGAGATCCTAACCATACAATAGTTTCTTTAAACGTGTGATTAATTATCCTCCTGTTGCCTTCCTAGCTTGTCAAGTTTCCAGTGTGTTAACTTTTTGGTCTCTTGACCAAACATCTCATGACATTATTACTGTCACTGTATTAGGTTCCATCACCGTGAAGTTCTTCATGAATTCTCTAGCACTGTGATGTATGTAAAAATTTAGTCCATTTTCCTTCCCTAATTGGGCCCCAGAAGCCTCTTATTTGTTTATATTAATTACTAGTAATACTTTGAGAATGTACTAATATGAAAATTGTATGTGAGAACAGTCTCTGGGTTGATTAATTCTAAGGTTGGGAAATGAAGCTGAATCATCATTTGATTATGTGCTGATTTTACAAATGTGTCATTGATAAAGTGTGTTTGTTACACCTGTCCACAATTTAACATATAGAATGGCTTAAATTAAGAAGGAAATTATGAGCTACTTTTTCTTGAGATCTTGTGCTCTTTTACCTTGGCCTGTTTCATTTATTTCCTAGGCAGACACCAAAGGCATAATGCTTAATTTTCCTTACCAAGGGCGTATTGCTTGCTTGCTTTTCCTGGGGCCTGGGACTGGGATCGGGACTGGGATGCTGACTTCAATGGGATTAATTGTCACAAGCCAGGACGGTGAAACACAAAATCTGAAACTCGTGTTAGGCACTGTCAAGAACTCATTTGTATTCCACTAAAATTTAAATCTGACATTTATTGAGTACTTTCTTTATTGAGACACTGTGGTAGGTACTCTTAAACCTACCTTATTCAGAAAAGTAATAAAAATGTTTCTACTTTTGAGTAGATAAAGTCAAAGTTTTAAATAAATTACCAGTCAATTTTGTTTCTCAGTTATATGATAATATTTTTCATACCACAAACCTTCCATTTATTAACTTCAATTATCATTCTAGCTGTCAGGTGAATCATGAACCTTGAGATTAGGGGAAAAAAATTACCCTAAAAAAGTTTTGATTCACTCAATGTCAACTTGGAGGTTTTTCTGAATCTTGTTCATGTGGAAATTTAATTCCAGGAATCTTGATTTGAATCAGGTAAACCTAACAAACAAATTAAAAAGAGATGAACGTCCAAGGCAGCCCCTACTTAAATTGAATTTATTAAATACTTAACCAGCGACACTTCTGGACAGTACTAGAATATTTAGTGCAAGGTATAGGTCAGTCCCCCCCACCCCTACCCCCAAATTCTGTCCTTTGCATGGCATAATAACTGCACATTTTATTCCTTCAGATTGTCAGTTCATAATGTAGAATTAATATATTTCTATTACAAGCATGTTGTTTATTATTGATTGAATTCCCTGAAAATTGATTGCCTGTAACCAAAATATCTATGTAAGAGACTGCAGTTTAATGGGAATCCCCCAAGCATTTCTAACAGGCCTTGAAACTTGTCCTGGAGAGTGTTTGTTGTCTCTCAGGACACTGCTCTGTGTTTTGTTCCTTTGGAGAAGAGAGAGGCGTATCAGCTGTAGTCACTGTGATAGGCATTCACGATTATTCACAGCCGATCCATGAAGTCACCTAACTGTCCCACCTTCTGTGCTCCTGAGCTGATGAGACATCCAAAGGAGGTTGTAGGACTGTTCTACCTATGCACGCTGTAGCAACTAAAGCACCGAGAAATTTTTCATCTATAATTTCTCTTCTTTCCATTCAGATTTACTTCTTCCATGTGCTCTGCTCTTTATCTTGCTTACGACTTGGGGAATTACTGAACGTGTACTGATAAAAACGAATAAAATGATCTAACATTAATTGAGTGCTTACTATGTGCAGTCCTTGTACTAACCACTTTACCTACATTGCCTCCTTTACTCCTTATGCCTGGGGCCACAAGTTAGGTCCCCCAAATGACCTCCCTTTTATCAACAAGGACCCTGATTCTCAGAGAGGTTAACATGCCTATGTTGCACAGCTGGTTGTAAAAGATGGACTCGAACCGAGGCAATCAGACTCCAGAACCCATCTTCCCTATCTAACACTGCACCATCCTGCCCCTATGAATGAATCGCCACTGTCAGAAACGTCTTATCCTTGCTCCCGAGAGCATCCTTTTCTTTAAGGTCCAAGTACATACGAGAGAGACCTAATTCATGCACCGTGACTTGAAGTCTTCTGGAAGACCAAACCTCTATCTTTTTCCCAAATATACTTCTGCTTCCTGTTAAATGACCTTCCCAGAATGGTGGTCTTGTCAAATGGAAAAGCACGCTGGCTTTCCTAACTCTTGGCACTCCGTTGGATTTCTCTTTTCTCTTATCCAGCTTACCTCATTCAAAACATCTTCTCTAAGAGCTGAAAAGTGGTTCTTGTGTGGTTTGAGTTATACCTTTTTTTTTTTTTTTTCCCCTTCAGGCCATTAGCTGCCTTGAAGTAGATTACCAGAATCTTCCTTATTTCCAATACAATGAGTAGTCACCAACAAATATTTTTCTAATTTCTTCTCTTGCAGGTAAATAACTTCCTATTCTAGAACTTAGTACTAGCCTTACCACATCTGTCATCACTAAATTTATATTGGACGTTCCAGTAAGATAAAGACCATTAATGAAATAACATATAGCAGCCTACAGCGTTTTCTAACTAGTAGCATGCCCTAGAGGCGTTCAATAACATTATTAA